GTGCCAGGTTCACGCCATTTTCTTTTGCAAAGAGGGTTCAGACCTCCCACAGACCAATTTTCTAAGACAGGCTTTGAATTTTTTTCTTTTCTTTTTTTTTTTTTTTTTAAGTAAACACTCACCCTCCCCTGTTCTCCAAAAAGGAAGAGAACCAAGGTGCCAGCAGGTACCCACTCCTCTGGCTGGACTCCACCCCCTCCCAAGACTTGTCCACGCCCGCTTTTCCTGGACTCTTGGTCTGGGATGTTTCTCTAAGGAATTTGCCCTGGAAGCCAGCGGCTCTGGTTCTCCAGGCTTCCTCTTCTCTTCAAGTTAAAAACGTTGCTGGGCCAGCCAAGTGACTCAGTTGGTTAAGAGCTCGCTCAAGAGCGTGAGCTCTGAGCAACAGGGTCTGCGGTTCAATTCCTGGCCTGAGCTGAGCTGCCACTGAGCTGCCAACAGGTAGCAGGATGGCTCAGCTAAAAAAAAACGTTGCTGATTAATGCCATCCTGATTGCCCCTTTCCTCTGAACCCTTCAGAGCCGAGTCCCCCCCACAGCTATGCATTGTCAGGGCCCCCACGTCGTCTCCTCCCCTTGCCCTTTCTTCTCAGTAAGAGTGAGGGCCCAGGCGTGCCTGGTGCTTCAGATCCTCGTCTTCCTGCCGCTTTGTATCTAATCCGTGCTCGTGCCCAGCTCAGTGCCAGGCTATGACTTTAGTCAGCGTTTGCTGAACAGCAGTGGGCAGGCGATGATGTCCCCAGGATGTCGCCTGGGACTTGCCTGGAAAGGAGTCTCAGGACAGTAAGTGTGAGGAACGGCAGAGAAAGAAGCACAGCTCTGATTTCTGTTGGACCCGTGATACTCGAAACTCACGGTGATGCTGTCTGGCCCCAGGGAGCCTGCGCCGGGCCAGGTGCACTCCTGGGTTAGGACCGGCTCTGGCCCAGAGGGTGCGTGAACGGTGTGTCCTTCCCCCACACACGGTGTGCTGCGTGCCCCTGGTCTGTGCGCCCCCCTCACTCTCTTTTTTGTTGCTCAGGCTGTCTTCGCTCTCCTCCTGGGACCCTTCACCTTCTTTGATGTCCAGAAAACCAAGTACCTGCAGATCCTGACCTCCCTGATGAGATGGATCGGTGAGTCTGAGGCACATTTCGCGTCTCCGCCCTTTCTCCCCTCATCCCTTCCTTAACCTTTCCTGAGACGGCTGTGCAGGCTCCCGAGGGCAAGGCGGAGGCGGGTGCTCTGCCTGCCTTTTCACTGGTGGGGAAATTTGGTACTGAAAAGTTTATGTCACTTCGAGGTCACATAGTGTGGACAGGGCTGGCGCTGGCCCCAGGACCATTGATTCTGGGGCCAGCCTTTTTCACACGCCCGTGCTGGGTCCCCACTTACCCACAGACTGGCCACTGAGCCCCTGAAGGCCTGGGTCAGGCTCCGCCCCCTCCAGGCATGAGAGCGGTGCCACTCTGCGTGTCGTCGTAGGTGTGCTGTGCTGCACAGCCATAAAACCAGCGGGCCGTGGAGGCTGCCTCCACATCCCCGGCTATAGTGCCTTCTAACTGACGGACACCCTGCTGAGCAAGAGTGTGGCTGTCCTTAGGGGTAGTTCGGGGGCCTCTCCCCTTAAATCAGATATGCGGGGCTCATTCATTCTGCCATAGCATCCTGCCAGCCACCCAGAGGGGTCAGGCTTCTGACCCGTCTGGACCCAGGACAGGAGGGTGTGAGGTCCCTGCCGCCCATCAGCTGGCATGTGCTCTGGAATCGGTTTCACGCCTCTTTTGGTCTGTTGCTGTTCTGGGTGGGGCTCCCCCTCCCTGACCCCGTTCCCCAGCTTCCTTTCCCACTGCGTCCACTCCTCATCAGGACATGGGTACACGTAGCTCCCCGTTGCATGCTGGCACTCGACACTAAATCATGACAAACTAGATCAAGGCAGTGTCTGAGCCAAATGATGGCCGGCAATCCTGGCGCCTCCGGTCCCCTGGAACCTCCCACCTGGGATTACAGGATCCCCGGTAAGGAGCCACCGCCTCACGGGAGCCTTGGCATGTTCAGTTGGAAGGAACGCGGCGGTCCTCCCAGGCTGTGCAGTGTGCGGACCGGAGCTCACGACTGGGGAAGGGTCCCGCTCCGCTCTGCGGGGACCGTTTGTCAGTGCTGGGAAGCTTTGCTGTGGCTTGAGCCAGACACACCGCCTGGAACTTCTTCCAACTCTTGGTCCTTCCTTGCAAGGAAAGGAGAGCAGGACCTAGTGTCTGGAGTGTGAGCTTTGGGGGCCTTTGTAACTTGATGAGCCTGTCCATCATCACCCAGTCAGGACAAGGGAGCGGGAAAGCTACCCGGCCAGGGCAGAATTCCTTTTCTACCCCGTTCATGGGTCTGATCCTATTGTCACCTGCAGGATGCTATTCCCAAATTTCATTCACAAGTTCCAAAGCCCTGGGTTAAGTTAACATGACCACTGGGAAAAGGAAGACTCGCTGCTGCTGAGAACGTGAGGATCACACGGGCTCCACGGGCACGATGTTGGAGTGGAGCCTCCTTAGGTGCCAGGGGGGGCTTGTGTCCAAAAGTCGGGAGCAGCAGGGATCAGAACCATACCTTCCCCTTGTGAGTCTGCTATGGGAAGCTTGGGAGCACCGAGTGACCTTCAGAAGGAGTTTTCTCAGTAAAGCAGTATTTGGAGAAGAATGTTCTTCCTCCTCGCGTCTCTGGCCCCACTCTGTTGTTCGGTCCCAGAGTCCTGGAAGTCTGGCCCCCGCCCGCCGGAGATTGGCTGTCCTTGGCCTACTGTACTGGAGAGGGCAGGCGCAGGGTGGGGAGAGGTGGCGGGAACGCCGTGCTGCCGCCAGTGTGATAGATTCCCATGTCAGCCCACGAGGGGATAATGACAGTTAATGGCTTCCGTAGCACCCCGGTGCCTGTTTAGCGTGACGAAGTCCTCTGTCTGGTGAGCAATACATTCATTAAAAGGGAGAAGATTGTGAGAGAGAGAGAGGCGGACGCTGACAGGGTACGAGGCTCCCCCGACTGGGGTCAGCACAGCTCCCACCTTCAGGGGAGGGGCTGAGAGGCCTCAAAAGCATCTGGGAACAGCCCCTGCCCCCTTCCCATCCTGCTGTTGAAGCCCTCGCTGCCCCTGGAACCTGGTTGTTGCTTTAGACAATCGACTGCTCTTTCTCAGGGCCACGGGTGACCCCATTCTGCCTGGCTTTCTCCCAACCAGCCCCTCCCACAGAGCAGCGAGGCAGGTACTGTTAGCCCTGGGGGCTGAAGCCCCTGGGTCTCCCCGCCGAGGTTCTGGGGGCCCCAGAGGCACCTACTACAGGCGTGCACAGCGAGGTGGCAGTGGCCTTGAGAGGTGCTTGGCCGCAGACTGGGCTTCAGGTAGAGACCAGCCCGTGAAGGTCACCCACACTTGTGTTTGGGTGGTGACATTGTTGTCTTGACACCGTTCTCTCTGCAAGTCATTTGCCTCTTTCTCCCTTTGAGCCAAGAGATAATCAGATGGCAGTAGCCTCTCCCGAACCTCCCCCCCAGCGTGCGTCTGTGGGTGACAGCACAGGCAGACGGTTTTCTCCCGGAGACACACAGACCTCTGGGCTTGAAAAGTAAAGCTCTGTGTGACACAAAGCCCCCTCTTGTGAGAGAAAAT